AGGTCCATGTGGCTTCTCCTCAGGGATGTCTTGCAGGAAGTGAGCCTTGCCAGCTGAAGCAGGGAACTGGCTAAGGTAGCTGCATCCTGGTCTGACCATCAGAAAGCAAGAGACCCAAGAACTAGAAAGGTGAGGATCACCAAGCTATTTATCTCTACGCCCTTCAATTAATCCCAGATGTGTTTATCGGCCAGGTTGGCACAATAAACCTTAACTATCTCATCCATAAATCCTTCTTCGGACTCATGCAGTCACATGCAATGATGCAAACTGTAGGAAGATTACAGGCCGGTGGGTGTCAAGTCTTGGAGATCCAGTGGCAATGGAAGCATCTCAGCACTGGCTGGGGTCTCCACATGACTCCTCTTGCTCTCTGAGTGTGTCTCTTCAACAGAAAGGTGAAGCAGAGAGAGAGTGTGTGTGTCCCACCTCCAGGGAGAAAGAGAGAAATTTCCCTGAATCTTCACGAGAAGGTCACACCCAAAAGGAGGCATCATCAGGCTGTGACCTGATTGACAGGCTAGACTCCACCCCTCCACTTATTTATGAAGTTGACATGAAGTTATGTAAGTATCACAGTTTCCTAGATGGTAACTCTTTGGGAGTAGGAAGTCTTGTCTTTCTCCCAAGGAGCAGCCTGTGGTTTCAAACTGCTGACCTTGTGGTTAGCAGCCCAATGTATGACCACCCCACACGCCACCAGGGATCCTTTGATTGGGTTAGATTTGCCTTTTTCTAGAGTCAGATTTGGGGGCCTGGTGGTGCTGTCAGGTAAGCCGCTGGTCTAATTGCCAGACCTGTGTCTCAAACCCAGCGGCCACTCTGTGGGAGAAAGAGGAGGCTATCTGCTTATATAAAACGCTACAAAATATCAGAAACCCCAACAAAGAGGTAATTATGAGTCAGATTACACCAGCGGGGCAGTAGGTTGGTTTGGGGGAGAGTGAAACTTTGCTGTTGTATTCTTTTGTAACACACTTCTTTTGCTTCGGCGTAGGATTTTGAGATTCATACACAGCGTTGCACCCATGGACATTCATATATCAGTGGGTTTTGGTATGAACATCTGTGGCTACTTCTCCCAAGTAAATACCTAGGAGTTTGGTTGTTGGTAACTTTAGTGTTAATTTTCAGTGAGATTTTCAAACTGTTCTCTAAAGTAGTTGCACCATGTTGCAAGCCTTCCAGCAGTGGCATGACAGTTCCACATCTGCTGCACATCCTTGACGATGTGTCCAGCCTTTTTAAAGTTAGTCATTCGAGTGGACATGCAGTAGAATTGCATTGTGATTTTAATCTTCATTTCACTGATAAATAGTGATCTCTCCATTTCAGGTGCCTCGGGCCCTTGTCATATCTCATCATTGGTTAAGTGTCCGTTGTTCATTTTTGTCGAGGGATTGGCTCTCTTGCTATTGGATTGTAAGAGTTCGTTGCGTATTCTGAAAATGAGGCCTGGGTTGGATAGGTACTTGGACAGTGTGCACTTTTCTACCAGTCTGTGGCTTGCCTTGTTATTTTTTCATGGAGGCTTTCTATATGTAGAATTTATTTTGAGAAGTATACGAAACCAAACTGGCTGTCATCGCATCAATTTCAACTCGTACACCCCTATGGGACAGGACAGGACCGCCCAGGGGTGTTACTCTTTCTGAGACTGTTACTCTTGAGGGGAGTAGAACTGACGGCGTTGTGGTTAGCAGCCCAAGCCGTAGCCTACTATGCTATGGTTTATCAAAACTCCTCCTTGTTTCATGTTTTGTTTCCATCCTAAGATTTCTTTGTCTACCTCAAGGTCACAAGGATTTCCCACATATGTTTTGTTTTAGAACTATATATGTTTCAGCTCTCAGGTTAAAATCCGTAATTCATTTCAATTTAATTTTTGTACATCATGTGAGGCATTTCCACCACCACCACCACCACCACCGCCCCTGTGTATATACTCAGTGATTCC